AGAATCTGTCCAAATTGGGAAGTTACGTGGGTTGGGGTGCGGGGGCAAAGCCCCGCGGTATGGTACAGGGGTAATGTTGTAATTACATATTGTGCCTAGGTTTACTCCTGGGGTTATAAATAGGCCTGTTAGTAACCCCTGGAGGTAACCCTGAATTCTGTAAACTCTTTTCTGAATATTGAAAGGAACTCGCCGCTCTGCTCCCGAGGACGTAGGCATCTTTGCCGAACCTCGTTAAATCTCTGTGTTCTTCTGGATTTGTGTCGATTACTGTTTTCTTCGCCCTAATTTTCTCAACACTTAGTATTTGATGAGAATAGTAGCCCAAAATCTTAAACAATAAAGGTAATTAACCATGGAGATTTAAAGTATATGGGAAGTCTTAAATTAAAAAAATAAAAAAAAATATAAATTTTTAATATTATTTTTTTTCTATTTAATTTATATTAAAAAAAAATCTTCCTCAATATTAATAATAGAGGGCCTTTATAAAGCCACTTTTCTATATTTTTATAATATTATCAACCCTTCATACTATTGAGCCACCTGCCTCAACTTTAGGGATATGGTCATGATTTTGCCATAGTGCTCAGCAATTATTGAGTGCTACAAATATCCAAAGAGAATTTTTTTTTTACCCAAAATAATTATATATTTAATTAAAAATACAAAAGAAAAGCTCCCTGAAAAATAAAATTTAAGAGAAAATTAATTAAAAAAAAAGGAATTTCATAGTCATTAAATTTATTAAAAAGTAATTTATATTTATCTTAAAATAAATTTAATGAAATTAAATTTTTTTTTTCTGCTCAATTTGATCAGGAAAATCAGATCTAATTTTTAGGCCTTCACAAAACTCAAAACCAAAGCAAACTTTGGATCCATCAAACCACATGCTTTCACATCGCAATCCTTCTTTAATTATTCTCCCAACACCGAGTATGAATAACTTCTCCTCTACATGAAATTAAATCTCATCCACAAAATTTCTCATTTTTTTTAAAGATTGGCGAGAGGCTATTATACGAGTCTCCCGACTAACCTCATATGCCTAAGAATTCTATCCAGCACATAGGCGGGATCGAGCCCGTGACCCTAAGGGTCTTACAAACTCTGTCAATCAAAAAAATCATGTATATAGATAGATATATCTATGTATGTATATATGTAGATATATGTATGTATGTATATGCCTATGTATTTATATAGATAGATGTATGTAAGTCTGTGTGTATCTATATCTATATATATATATATATATATATATTTGTACATGTTTTTTAAAAGAATGGTCGGAGGCTATTAGACGAGCCCCGACCATCCACATGTATGCTAAATATTCGAATACCACACCTTACACATAGGGGGATTTTGAGCTGAGGGGACTTACGACTTTCAGAGTGCCTGCTCTACCAACAAGCCACGAAACGTACGCGCACATATGTATGTATGTATATGCCTATGTATTTATATGCATGCACATATATATGTCCGTGTACATGCATAAGTACACGCTCATGTACTTATATATGTATCGACAGATATACATTTGTGTGTGTGTACTACGTGAAATTGATATCTACATTTATAAAATTTGGGTGTTAAAATTTATGCGTGAAAAGATGTACTTGTCTTTTAAAAACTTCGTAAGGGTAAAAATATGAAAGCATACGGGAATTGGCGATTATTATAGAAATTAAAATCATACAATATCATAAATATCTTTTTTTTTAAATAATCATTTATATATATACCCTCATCCATTTGGTGTGCACATGAACATAGATAGAGGAAGATGAACATATATCATTATATAATAATGGAAAAGATGAGTTTTCTTATGAATTTTTGTAAATAAAAAAAAATAAATAAATTGTAAGATATTTGATCTAATCTTCAGATCTATCAGCAGAATATTTTTCCTAAAATATGCAGTAAAGCTTAGAATATCATAGCATCTGTCCTTATATTCTGTTACCAAATAATTAAATAATATATCTAGGAAGAAAATATTAAAACAATTTATTTTTAGCCAATAAAAAATAATTGGCAAAGATAAGAAAATAACATTAAAAATTATCATAAATATTTCTCGTAAGATTTACATATTCGATCAACAAAGAAAATTATCATGAATCGTTTAATTAACGAAAAGATATTACATCAAGAGTCCTGATGCATAAATGTATCAGGATTTCAATGAAATCATGTCATGTGTCCAGAAGAAACAGACCATATATTAAAATATAATTTTTTTTATTCAGTGGGTCTGTCGTGTAACGTGATGTAATTTCATTACAGTCTACATTAGGACTCCTGATGTATTATTATTTTTAATTAACACACTTTATCTTATTGTGTATAAAACAGTAAGAAGAAAAAATAAAATAACTGAATCTTGGATTTAAAATCATTGATTTATTTTTTATAAGATATGATTTACAATAAACTTCTACAACACTTATATATTCACATATCTCACACCTAAATTTTTATATTTATACACCTAGCATATCACCATGCTATTTGATGTGATACCAAATATTTGATTGCTATATGTATAAATATATAAATTTAGGTGTATGTAAATACATAAAAAATTATATTCTATGCATGTAAATCCATTACCATATATCCTCTCTTGATGAACATCTTCCATACCCTTTGAATCTCTCTATAAATAGTCACTTTACATGCGTAACACATAGTTATTACATATTTACATCTTTTACACATAAATTTTTATATTTACATACATAGCAATATTTTTGTTGTGACATGAAAAATTTGATTGCTATGTGTATAAATATAAAAGTTAAGGTATGAGATATGTAAATAGGTAGCAGTTATGTGTTATGCATGTAAAATCTAACATCAGATGTCCAATAATAGAGGGTTACATGACAATTTGAGCCTACTGACATACACGATTCGAGCCCGAATTGCCATGTGACATCCTATTATTGGACATCTAATGCAATCAAATGTCTTGATGCAATAATTTTTCTTGCCATAGATGACGCCCTTAAGATCATCAACCTCCCATCTTAACCAACATCTTCCACACCCTCTGAATCTCAGAGCAAACATCCACCGTCGGAAGCTCATATCTACAGCAGGGACACGTGTTGCGCATCCGCAGCCACTCCAGAATACACCCCCAATGAAACGGGTGCCCGCACGGCATCGCCCCCCCGCACACAATCTCCTCCCCGCATATCGCACACTCCCCCATTTCCGCAACCTCCAGCGCCACCACTGCCGCCGCCTCCGCCGCGGCAGCTCCGCCGCTATCCGCCTCCACCAGCCGCCGG